GTTGATGTTGCCAAGATTGCATCAGAGGACAACCTAACTGATCCTTTCACGAAGAGTTTGTCGAGGAAGGTCTTCGTCAATCACGTGGAAGGAATGGAAGTCAGGTGCATGGTGATAGGATTGACATAGGTCTTTTAGAATAACGGATTGATAGGACTATACTGTAAAAGCGAAAGCTTTAAGTATAAGTGGGAGATTGTTAGTGTTATATACTGAAAGCTTGGCTTTGCATGTTATTATACGTTTGCCCTTTATGAATGAGAATCATGTTAGATAACAAGTTCTACGTTCTGTTGTTCTGTACTTAGATAGGGTGGGTCGTCATCGGGCGAACCGAATATCACTCTATCCGTTACTTGCGAACCAGAATAGTTGTTCACAACCTAGATGGACATGAACACCCCATCTGCACGGTTGTAGTGTCAATTGTACAGTTTGTCTTGACTGATTAGTTGCACTAGTACATTTATGTATTGAACAGGATCCCAGAGAGGAGTCGTAAATGAACTAGGCCTCGGTTAATTACTGCGTTCTTTTAACCCGTAAGATATTAAACAGGCAGATATATGTAGTATATATTACTTTGATTCACTTGGGTGAGGTTCAGTTCGCTGAATTAATATTCCTACTGTTTTGGGTAATATTACTATATATAGGATGTGCTGTTAGGATATTTACGGTCACCATGTGCGTTAGTTTGATGATGTCCCCGAAGTGAGTTCATGAAGGATTGCTATGCTAAACCCTACAGGTGGATTAAGTTCCGCCATAATAAGAATGTGATGAACGAGCGCTACCTTCGGTTAAATAATAATAAATTAAATAATTCTTGATTGTCAGTAATCGAATTAATTAATGGACATTATAACTTAAACGCTGGGAGGTAAATCTAGTAATTATAATTGGAGTCTCAAATGTACTTTGGGCTAGGAAAAGGGAGTGCAATAATATAATGTTGGTAGCCTAGTAATATTATTTAATTAATTAGAGGAGTGAGTTTGACCCACAGTTAGTCTAATTAATTAAGGAGCCTTATTTCTAATCTTCTTAGGGTCCCTACTGTAGTTCTATACATACATAATTAAGCTCATGAGAAGATAACCAATCCCTCATATTTTCGAGAAACACGCCACCCCCCTCATCTCTCTCTCCCAGTTCTCATTCGAGGTTTATCTTTTTCTTGTTGCTCCACTGGTACAAGTTGAAGAGGTGTTTGAGTAATACCATAAAAGATCAATAGGTAATCGAGACCCGATAATCTTCTACAAACAGTCGACGATCCACGACCTGAAGGCCAAGGACCGCCGACCACCCGACTGCCGATCGCGACTAAGCCGGAGCTCGCGACCAGCCGCTGCGACGCGCCTCCTGGAGTCGCGACGCGCCACCACCCGCGACACGGCCACCGGCGGTCAGACCCGCGACACGACTAGCTCGACCCGACCGATCCGTTTGTGATCCCGACCTATTCGTGTGCTGTGTACAGCCATCCAGAAGATCAGCCAGATCGCCAAAAATTTTAAGCCGTAAGTTCTCGACGTTAAACCTTTAGATCCGCTGCGCATAGGTTTACATGTGCTATTGAATTCATGATTTGTGCATAACGAGATCCTTACAGATCCCAACATTTCACCCATTTGAACGGCAAAAGAAAGAAAGGGGCCAGTTTTAGGACGGCCCCAACAGCAAAGATGATTCCGACATTCACCACCAGAGGAAGAGGCCGCAGTAGGGCGGCAACCAAGAGATTTTGACCTTTCACCCGGTCCATTAAAATGAGGTCGGCACTTCAAGGGGAAGAAAGAAGGACTAGTTAACCGTCCGAGAGGGCGATGAGCAAGACTACCCACCTCGGCGTATCAACACAAGCCGAGGTGATTAATTCCCCTCGAGGAGGTAGACTAAGGCATATGCCCAGCAAGCCTATTACACCGGACAAAGAGTACAACATGGCAGCAGCAGACGGGCGCCGGAGACCAAGTCGAACAAGATCTCCTTTACCGACGAGGACGCCTTCCTGTTCGACCACCCACACTTGACGCTCTAGTGATCACGACGCCCATCATGGCAATCGAAGTTCACCGCATCATGGTCGACATTGGGGCCTATGCGAGTATACTTTACTACGACACTTTAAAAAAGATGGGTGTCGACATGAAGGAGGTGCAGCCCTGCCGGGAATGAATCCAGGGTTTCGACGGCAGAACGACACTCCCGGTCAGGCAGATCATGCTACCAATCAAGTTCGGAGGAGACAGGCAGCCCACGAGAACGATCCTAGAAACCTTTAAGATCGTGGACTGCCCAAGTAAATACAATGCCATCTTAGGCAGGACAACACTATACAAACTAAGGGCTGCCGTCTCGATTTTCCACTACTACATCAACACACGATCACAACACGGAAAAATATAATTTACAAATTTACATAATCCGATCATAGATCCAACGAATGGATGTACATATTTTCTAAACAAATAATTAATTCTATCTGGTCAACCCCCGGGCTCATAATTATTACAAACATTCATCCATCAATTCCTCGATATGTCCGAGACTTTAAAAACAAATTTAAAACCATACATCACCTTCAACAACATTCATCAAACACATAGGCCATAATGGTGGATTAACTAATTCCTGCAAAACCAAGTTATGCGAATATAATCCAATATATATGGCTGCATTTGAACACATCTTGTCAAACAAAGCCGTAAAAATTCGAACTTTGTACAAAACGAATTAACCAAATGCTCTGATACCACTTGTTGAGATCTATGAGGATCTCGTTATGTACAAGTTATGAATTCAATAGCAAACGTAAACCTATGCTCAGCGGATTTAAAGGTTTGACGTAGAAAACTTACTGCTTAAAATCTCTGAATATGTCGGATTCGGATTGACCGAGAACAGCATACGAACGGAAGCTGGATCACAAGAACGGATGGAGGGAGTCGGCTGGTTCGGGATCGGGTCATGTCGCATGCGTCGATCGGCTGACGGTCGTGTCGCGAGGGGTTGCCGGCTGCGGCGGTTGCTTTGGCTCGTTGCGGCGGGGCTGGGTCGGCGGATCTCAGTCTTCAGGTTGAGATTCGTCGACTTCTGTAGATGATCACGGGGCCTCGATTACCTTTAGGATCTTCTACTGTATCACTCTTACACCTCTTCAACTTGTACCGGTGGAGCAATAAGAAGAACATAAAGCTCGAATGAGATCTAGACAGAGAGAGGGGAGGGGCCTCGATTTCACACGTGAATTGTGATTAATCTCTTCTCATGAGCTTAATGATGTATATATAGAGCTACAGTAGGGATCCTTAGGAAAATAGGAATAAGACTTCTTAAATAATGGACTAACTGCCGGCCAAGCCCACTCCTCCAATTATTTAAATAATATTATGGTCCACTAACATACTATTATTGCACTCCTTTTTCCTAGCCCAAATTATATTTGAGACTCCAATAATAATTACCCGATTTACCTCCCCATGTTTAAGATATAATGTCTATTAATTAATTCAATTACTGACAATCAAGAACTACTTAATTCGTTCATCACATTATTATTATGCTGAAACTTAATTCAGCTACATGGTTTAGCATAACAATCATTCATGAGTTCACTTCCGGGACATCATCAAACTAACACACATGGTGACCGTAAATATCCTAACAGCACATCATGCATATTACCGAAGACAATAGGAATATTAGTCCAGCGAACTGAACCTCACCCAAGTGAATCAAAATAATATGTATTGCATATATATGCCTGTCTAATATCTTTCGGGTTAAGAGAACGCATTAATTAACCAAGGCCTAGTTCGTTTACGACGATCAGTATAATACAAACTTCTCCTCTCTGGATCCTGTTCAATACATAAATGTACTAGTGCAACTAATCAGTCGAGACCAACTGTACTGTTGACTCTACAACCGTTCGGATGGGGTGTTCATTTCCATATAGGTTGTGAACCATAATTCTTGTTTCGCAAGTAACTGATAGAATGATCTTCTGTTCACCCGATGATGACCCATTTTATCTAAGTGCAAAACAACATAACATAGAACTTGTTTAATCTAACATGATTCTCATTCATAAAAGATAAAAGTGTAATTTATCCAAAGCCAAGCTTTCAGTATATAACACTAACAGGGTCGTCCTTCAGGTACTTCACCAACCCCAGAATGGTTTGGTAAAAATGCATCTTCTGCTGTCACCTCTTGAAATCAAGCCAGTTGAATTTTTCGGGCTTTTTAGGGGTGGGGACGTGGACAACAGGCATGAGATTTGGACTAAGATTTGGATTAGTGACTAGTGCTGTAAACGAACCGAACCGAACCGAACCGAGCTTGGGCTGTTTGAGCTCGTGTTCTTTACGTTCGAACAGTGTTCGTGTTCGTTCGTTTATTTTTCGAGCAAAAAATCGTGTTCGAGTTCGTTCATTTAATTGTTCGTCAAAGTTCGAGTTCGTTCGTGTTTGAATAATTTAATATATAAACTTTTTAAATATGTTTGATTAATTCAAAAATTGTTCGTTCGAACTCGTTCGAACTCGAAAATAAAAGAATATAATAAAAATATTTTTATATTTTAGTTTTTTTATTAAAAATATTATGTAAATATAAAAAATAATAATAAAATTATATTAAATTTAGTTTTTTATTAAAAATATTATGTAAATATACAAAAAATAAAATAAAAGTATATTAAATTAATGTTCACGAACGAGCTCATGTTCGTTTGATTATAAACGAGCCAATTTTCTGTTCAAACTTGGCTCAATTAATAACGAACGAGTTTTTATCGAACACAAACGAGCTTTTGTTTGCGAACATGCGGTTCATTTACATCTCTACTAGTGACCACCCAATCAATTTAATTGAGTGAAGAAATGTAAAGAAGGAAATAGTTGGGGACCTATGTTTGCAATTAACCAACCCTTTGAAGAAAAGAATACATGAAAAGATTTTCGCGGTTATTACCCCCACAAGAAAAAATGACTTAAAAATAAATTCATTTTCTTCCCACTCTTCTCTCTCTAAACACTCTCCCTTTCTCCTTCTAAAGTCTCACTCTTCGCAGGAAAATTCGTATTCTCATCTCTTACCATTAATTGTTCACTAATTTTAAATCTACAGCGTTCTTCTCCAATGCTGCGATTGAATTCATCGGATAGATAAATTGGTACGAAAGGTGGGTTTTTTTTTCCTCTTTGCTGATCTTTTATTTTCAATTTCCTTTAAAATTTTGAATTTCAATTCTGCATAATTAGGGTTCCGATTGATTTGATTCGTTTGAGGTGGTGTTCATTTGAACACCGTCGACTAATGGTGTGCTGTTTGTTTTCCTCTTCGGAGTTCTGGTTGCGAGTTTTTGTCTTGTTTTGCGTATGTTTTAATTTTGGTTATTACTCGTGCATTTTTGCTTTCGGCTCCTGAGATTCTGTATGAATTTAAAGATTTTTTATTTTAATTTTTGAATTATGTTTCATTTTGAATTTGAAAAGTCATTGAGCTTCTCGTCAGATTAGTTCTGGTGTTTTGAAGAGATGTTACGTGAGTATGAATGTGGTAAAATGATGTTGAACGTGGTAGTTCGAAGTTCATTACTTTGAAACAGGTTAATTATTTATTGATTTTTATCATTTTCAATTTGTTGAGGTCTATTTTTTCTTCCTAGTGGTTTTTGGTTCTTTTGCTCTTTTTGTTGGTATACTTATTTAATGGTGGCTGACTTTAAAATTGCTTTTCATAGGTGCAACTTTACTGATGACTGGATGTAATGTTCTTGTTTGCTCATTTGACATTTGTTAAATCATATCTCTACTCTTAGTTAATTTGAAGAGTTAAATGTGCTGTCAAACTTATATTTCAATTTCTTCGTCTGTTTTATTTCTTCTTTAGTGGTTGTATTATATAATCAATGATGGTTGTGAGTTCATTTGGCGCCCTTTTTCTAGTTCATTTTGAATAATTTATCTGACCTAAGTGAGCAAGTGTATGTATTGATTTTAAGTGCCTGTTGTTCATTAAATAACTTTAAAAGATATACCGTGTAATGATTGCATTGTTAAGGTTGACTTCTATTTGCTACTTGTGCAGAGGATCGTAATTTTAGCTGATCATGGGGCCCACAAGAAATTGTAAAAGTCTGAATAAACGTTACTCTTATGTTCCCGATGTATCTCCTAGCAAAGATGGGGATGGTTCTAAAAGAAGCAATAGGCGGGTGTGTTGCTGTTCTACTATTGTGTTTTATAGTCTAAATTTACAAGTTACTCATCGAGTAAAACACAGTCCTTGATGCAGTTAAATGTACCACTATCATTAACCTTTATCTTAGTGGTCTTATGATTTTCCTGATGTTTTGTGAGTAAAGTTTGCTTGGTAGATAGAATATTTTACCTGAATATTCATGAAAATGCATTGTTTATCAGAATATTGAGTCTTTATTGAAATGTCTGGCATCACATTTCTGGATTGTGATATTGGAAGGATACATGGTGTATCTTGGTATCTTTCTGTTACTTTTATCTTTGTGCAAATGGGTAGTTGGGTTGTACACAGTATGAATCAATAGAATGACTAGTTCCTTTAGAAAGTGCAGAAGAGAAAGTTGTCTGACATGCTTGGGCCTCGATGGACTGTGGAAGAGCTAACTCGTTTCTATGACTCTTACCGCAAAAATGGTAAAGATTGGAAAAAGGTTAGTTTGAATTAATTTTAGTCTCATAATCTTGAACATGCATAGTGATTGCTTAAATTTGTTACCTAAAATTATCTTTATAAATACTTATTCAGTCAGTAAAATAATACAGTGTGATCATTTCATTGAAGGGCTTTATGTAGCTTTCTTTATGACCTAATTCGTTATGGCTAACAGCTGATTCTTTGTCTCTTTCAATGGGTACAGTTAGCCAGTGCTGTGCGAAATCGTTCTCCAGAAATGGTGGAAGCCCTTTACACAATGAATAGGGTACATCTGCTTTTTTATCTATGGCCTGACTGTAAAGATTAGATCACCGTAACGATTAGATCACTATAATGATAAGATTACTTCTGTCTTCTTACTAAATAATTTTACCTCTCATGTTTCAAGCTTGTACTTGTACACACTGTTACCACAGTATATTATTGATTAAATATCTGCCTACCTAAACTGGCTATTTTAGACCAACTGACAGCTTGTCCAGATGGTCGACCAATGTTTTCTAGTATATACATTGTTTGTTAGTAAGGATTATTTGGCCGTAAATCTTTTGTAGCCAGATATGAGCACCAGATAATTTTATCCATTCTATCTTATAGCAGTAACTGTAACACCTCAGCTTGTTTTACTTAAAAACTCTGGATGTGATGGCATGCCTCAGTGGAAATATGGTTGTGATATAAAAGTGCACAAAAAGATTACTTTCAGTCTCTGATTATATAGCTCACCAGATTCTGGATATTTATCTTTGTGGTGATTGGTGGGAGGAAAAGTAGTTAACCTGAACGGCAGGTGAGTCTTTTGTATCTTAATGAGGAGGAAAATTGTGTTATCATTCATATACATATTTACTAAGATCTAGCTTTGTAAAATTAGGAAACATGTTTGATAGAAAATTGGTCCCCAACATCACTACATATATTGAGTGAAGCCAGACTGTGCTCTAAGATTGTTATACACTAACATATTTTGGCTCCTTCATATCAGGCATACTTATCTCTCCCTCATGGAACTGCATCTGCTACTGGGTTGATTGCTATGATGACCGATCACTACAGCAATTTGGTGAGATTATTTTTGATTCAGTTATCAAGATGTCATCAAAATAATCAAGGAAATTTCTCGAGTCAAGTTCATGTTATGAGACTCTGAATGATTCAATTACTATAATATCAATGAAAATGAAGGCAAAAGCATTTAGGCTTTGCTGTGCAAGTATGCCCTCCAGCACGTTGCATATGTCATTCTATTACTTCTGTGAAATAAAGTGGATAGACAAACTACCAAAAATGATTGGGGTGTTTCATATTCTTAGATGTAGCTATAATTAACTTTCTCTCCTATCAGTTGACACTTATGGGGTCTGAAGACCACTGTCTACATTACCTTGTCATAATTTTCTTCTGGGATCACCGGATACTAGTGAACACTTCTTTTGATGCGCTTTGTAGAATGTTATGTACTATTGGTTTCACAATTGACAGGCAGGGAGCGACAGTGATCAAGAAAGCAATGATGAAGTGAGATCATCACGAAAGCCTCAGAAACGTGCTCGTTGCAAAGTAGAACCTCCTACCTCAAAAGCATCAGACAGTCAATTCCTTTCCCCAACCCTCGGTTCGAGTTATGGTTGCCTGTCATTGTTAAAGAAGAAACGCTCTGGAGGTATGTTAAAAACGCAGATAAATCGATCTTTTATGGTACTCATGCTATAATGCTAAAACCTCGTTTTTATAGACGAAACTTGGATCCTTGTACTTCTGCTGGAAGTTGATGAATAACTTGCAGTTAGCCCACTTAGATATGTGAGAAGGGAAATAAATCATTATTATGGGTTTTAGTTCATGATTTGCATGTTAGTTCTGGATTTACTGACTTTTGTTAAGTATCTTAAGAGTTTCTTGAATTTCCTGAACAATTATTTTTTTATTTTTTTTTTTATTTCTGTAAAAAATAGCACGCATTGTTTCTCGTATAGTTTATATCTATTGTACAGATTCTTTCTCTGGTTTTCATCACCATATCTGCAGTTTTGTTCTTATAAAATAGATGATAGTTTGTGGACAGTTTTCTTTTTAGTGATTTTAACAACAAAATATTGTTCTGAATTTCTGATCATACAGGGAGCAGACCTCGTCCTGTTGGAAAAAGGACGCCAAGGTTCCCCATTTCCTTGCCATATGACACTATGAGCGAAGATAAATATTTTTCTCCAACCAGGAAAGGGTTGCAACTGAATGCTAATGCTGATGATGATGAAGTAGCTCACGAAATTGCCATAGCTTTGGCAGAGGCTTCACAAAGAGGTGGCTCTCCCCAGGTTTCTGGAACCCCAAATAAAAGAGCTGAGAGTGTCATGTCATCGCCAATTAGGCATAGTCAAAGAAAGGTTATCTTTGAACCTTATTTACTTAACATTATATTCGTTTACTCAACTTATGCAACTGCTTTTGGTTACAGAATTATTTAGCTGAAATGGCCAACACAAAACTCTTGTCTGCCGACATGGATGAAGAAGATTTAGAAGGGAGCACAGAAGCTGACACGGGCGAGCTGTTCAAGTATAAGTCCAATGTGGTGGAATTTGTAAGCCCTGGTACAACAAGAGAGAAAGGGAAAAAACTTAAAGGGAAGAAATTTGAAATTGAAAACAACGACGACCGTCACCTGGATGACACCAAGGAAGAGTGTAGTGGAACAGAGGAAGATCAAAAGTCAGGGGTAATCAGAGGCAAGTTTGATTTAGAGGCCAACACCAACATCTCGAAATCGCCCATGCAGAGCCAGAGAAAGAAGAGCAAAAAGGTTCTCTTTGGAAAAGGTGTGGCTAATCTTTGCATTTCTTTCTATGTCAAGCTTCAATCCCTGTTTCTGTGAAACATCATGTATCTCAGATCATGAAACCCTTTCCTGTATGCTTTTATCAACATAAAAGTTCCAGTTGCGTGCGTATATCTAAAATATAATGTCATTTCCATGCTCCTCAATTGATTGTTTTATGACACTAGGAACTGATATGCCCATAAAGTTGCTGTTTCTAACTTTATAATATTCAAGTTTCGAAGTATGGTTGTTCTTTTTTTATTTCTTCTCTAGTTAATCCTTGCACAACAGATATATGGTATAGTAGACGGAGTGTTAACTTACAAGTTAATTAATTCATTTGTTAATTACCTTTTGATTATGTAGGTGTTTCATGCTCTCATTTAACTGAGATCCTGGCCCTTGAGTAGTTCAATATGTAATTTTATGGGCTACTATCCTTTTTGTCGTTATTTATGTGCTTGCTGAGGCTCCACTTGTACTTGTAACTGAATATGCTCTTTTAGTTCCCACTGTAATTAAGATGAAGGCACACTCGACCTTTGTAGATGAGGAACCTGCTTTTGATGCTTTGCAAGCTCTAGCTGATTTGTCACTCATGCTGCCAATGGAAAATGAAGATGGTACGTAATACATGTCCACCTTTCAATTTTTAAACAAAACCTGCATAGGCTAAAATTTACTGCATATATCTCGATTTAGTTCAGTTGTTATTTTCTCACGCAACATACTCGAACATGCATTATTATCAACTATTTTCCCATTTATCAGAGTCAAGGGTGCTGCTTAAAGAAGAACCTGATGATGTTGTTGATGAGTCTGTGCCATTAGAATCCCAGCCAGCGAACCAGCCCAGAGAAAAACGCAAATCTACAGGTGTAAAAGTGAAAGGGCATCTATCAAGTTTTGGAGCTGCTTCCAGCAAAAGATCAAAACCTGGAAAAAGTTCAGCTTTAGATGCTTTCTCTGTTCCTGAAGAAAACCAGGATTCTATTCAATCCAACACCAATAAAGTAAGGAGAAAACAGAAGGTGCAAGTGTCTAAGGTGAGAAGTAATATATTATCTTTTTTGCTGTTTATCATCATCATGAATATGATGGTAGCTTACTAATGTATGTGTGTGTGTGTGCAGAATGCAAAACCTGAATCTCATGGTGATATTCTTGTTAGTGGATCTCCGGGAAATGAGGTACTTCACTCTTTTGTCGTTTAAGTTATTATGATGTTGTTATGTAGAATCTAACAACGATAATCGCAAATATTAAGTAAGTAGAAAGCTGAAAATTAGCTTAACTTTTGTATTTCGAAGGTGGGATTTTAGTATAAGAGGTCGGTTTTATCTGTAACCGAGCATTTAATGTGTCGGAAAAAGGATCCTCGTACAATAATAAATGCTGCCATTTATAGTAATTTTTGGGCTCGTCTTTTGAGACTGGTTCGGCAGCATTAAATGTGATTTAATGGCCTAGGGGCATCCAGTCCCACAAATAATGATGAAGGCATGGGCGGCTGATTGACAGGTGTCTGCCATGCCTGGCGCCCACAAGTTCGGTTACGCCAAGGCCTGGCTGGGTAGGGCCCTGGTGAGCCTCGTTGCCGCGGAAGACGAATTTCGCATGACCGCCTCTGAACTGGACGAGAAGAAAGACAAAGTTGAGCTTCGCGAAGGGCAAATCGCTTCTTTAGCGGTGGAATCGGCTACTCTTAAGGCCAGAGTTGACGAGAAAGAGGACGAGCTGAAGGCGGCGCGAGCTGAAATTGAGCTTCTGATGGCCGAGAAGAAGCGTCTCGAAGCCAACAACCTCAAGCTGGTGGATCAGCTCAGCGCCTTTGAGCAGAGGGCTAAACTCCACGAGGAGCAACTTCTCAAGGAGCGAGAGGAGCATCAGTTGACCCGCAAGGACCGCTCTGAGAAAGAGGCCCAGTGGATTAGGGTGAAGGAGACCCATAGGGCCGAGCTGGCGAGCATGGAAAAGGAGGCAGCCTTGCGCGAGGAGCTCAAGTATGAGCAGGGCCTTGCAGCAGGCAAGGATGTCGGGGTCCAGGATTATAAGGACTCTAAGGAGCTCGATGAATACATCGAATGTAACACTTGCATCAATTTCCGATGGGTGATCGAACGATTCCAATCCGGGCTCTACGACCTCAACGACCTCAAGCTTATGCTTGTGCGCAAAATGGAGAAGTACGGGTTTGATCCCGAGTTGGAGAAGACGTGTGTTCCTGCTGATGATGACGAGCGGGAATACTGTGAGTGGGTCTTGAGTGAGGCCGAGGCAAATGTGGTTATTGCTGGACTCCCCCCCCTTAGCCAGGAGAGACAGGTCGCCCTCCGAAGGGCCTTTGTTAACATGGTCCTAGAGGGCGAGAAGGAGAAAAGGAAGGACCTGACTGAGGTCTTTATCGGTACTCTCGCCGGGTTTATTGTCGATCAACACTTTGACGATATGACACCGGAGGAGATAAAGAAGGCCGTGGCGGAACACGTAGATAGATTGGCGACAGCTGCTGCCACGAAAGTCGCCGAGGAGGCGGCGACCGAGGTCAGTGCCGACCAAGTTGTGGTTGAAGCAAGCGTGTTGGAGGCAGCGGCCGAGGCGGGCGATAGCGAGGCCCTCATAACCATCGGGGTAGTTCCGAGGTGATCGAGGCTGCCGTCCTAAAAAAACTCGAGGAGAAGGTCAGAGACGCCTCTGAGAAGCCGGAGGAGGGGACAAAAGATGCCTCTACTTAGACTCCTGTTTTCGCTTTGTGTTTTTGTTGGCATTTTGTGGATTTCGACGTGGACTGTTATGTCGGCATGTCGTTGGACATGTTTTATGTTTTATTGTAAGAATCTTTTCTCAAAGTATTTCGATGAATGGATGTTTAGAGCATTGCTTGGATACAAATTCAACCTAAAACATCCAATCATTTTTAACTCAATCACTTTTTTTAACTCAACTTTAACTCAACCACACTATCGTCAATATAATTAATTACTATCAATCAATCATTCTTACACATAACATCAACCTTAATTCACTATTCATCAACTCACATAATTTTAACTCACCATCACATCACATCTTCTCTCTCATACTTTTATATCAATTTAATTTTAATCATTTTATTTTAAATATTATTTTAATATACCCACTAACAGCTAACCATACTAACTTATTCAAATTTAACCAACCCAAACCAAAAATTCAATCAAAACAAAAACTTTTTATATCCAAGCATGCTATTAATGTTTATTTTTCTTTATAAATGCTTTGAACTCGGGGTCAAGTACTTTTAAATGGACAATGTGAATAACCTAAACAGCTCGTTTCTGTAGCCGACTTGAGGCTTGATATAATTTAGATAAACTCCAAGCTCAGCCAGGCTATTCTAACTTGAGCAAAATTAATACGATTTTGAACAAAGCGTAGCCAACTCGGGGCTAGTATAATTTGAAATAAGTAATTTTGGTTTGAATAAAGTATGGCCAACTCGGGGCTAATTAAATTTGAACGAAGTTTGGAAGGTCATTTTTGTATCAAAAATAAATTTTGAAGAAACTTACCCATACTTAACCCCATTTAGAATTCAAAATCATTCTTTTCGGAATTGTTGCGGCATATGACCGACTTTTGGGCTTTAATGGCCTTCCCAAACCTTGAATGGAGCTTGGTTTATATTTCTGGCACTTTTTGGCCGACCCGAACCACGTAAGGGGTTTGGTTAACTTTTGGGCCCTCTTGGCCTTCCCGAACCACGTAGGGGGTTCGGTTAACTTTTGGGCACTCTTGGCCTTCCCGAACCACATGGGGGGTTCGGTTAACTTTTGAGCACTCATGGCATTCCTAGTTACTCTCAAGTGCTTTGGTTTTGGGCGTATAGCCTTATCGAACGACCTCTAGGTGTTTAGTAGATGTGCGCTAGGCCTTCCTGTGAGGGAGTTCATGCATTCCTAAAAAAGGTTCGAGTGCGTGATTTCGGATTTTTTTTTTAAAAAAAAAAAATTCATAATGCTCTTACAATCAATCCCCACACGCACTGTGGTAATATTTCTTGAGGAAGACGACATTCCAGGGATATTGGTGAGGGGTATCGTATAGGCATTCAAGTCGGTAGGCCCAATGTGGGAGTACTCGACTAATCTTGAAGGTCCCTCCAACTTCGATTTCAGAGGCCCTGGTTCGGGCCCCGTTATTATTTTGAGGACCAAATCTCCAACTTGGTAAGTTCGGGGTTTGAGCTTCGCGTTGATATGCTTTTCACTCTTGTACGCTGCGTTCTTGAGTTCGGCCTGGGTGCGCAACTCATCGGGTCAAGATTTGCCCTTAGGTTTTCCGAGTTGGACTCCTCGTCGAAGTTGCGGACCCGATATGTTGGGGTTCCGAGTTCGACGAGGACCATGGCTTCTGATCCGTAAGCCAGTGAGAAAGGGGTTTCCCCTGTCGACGACCGACCTATCATCCTATATGCCCACAAAACATGGGGCAATTCTTCGGGCCAGGCTCTTTTTGCGGCATCAAGCCGAATCTTAAGGCCATTCTTGATTATTTTGTTTACTAATTCGACTTGACCGTTTGATTGAGAATGGTATGGAGAGGAGAATAAGTGTTTGATCCCGTACTCTTCGCAAAATGCTTCGAACTTTTTTACTTTAAACTGTCGGCCGTTGTCAGTTATGATGGGCACTCCAAATCGGCACACTATCGACTTCTAAATGAAGTCAATCATTTTCTGCTCGGTGATCGCTGCCAGGGTTTTGCCTCTGCCCACTTTGTAAAATAATCCACGGCCACCATGGTAAACTTGACTCCTTTACCTTTTGGTAAAGGTCCGATTAAGTCGATCTCCAACCTTGCGAAAGGCTAGGGGCTGAAGACCGACTTCAGAGGCTCGGATGACTGGCTGACGTTGGGTGCGAAGATTTGACACTTGCTACATTTCCTCACCCAGTTTGCGGCATCTTTCTTCAATGTTGGCCGGTAGTATCCTTGCCTTAAAATTTTATATGCTAACGCTTGCCCGACCGAGTGACTTCTACATATGCCGTCGTGGACTTCCTCTAACACGTATCGAGACTCCTGTTCGGTCAGGCACTTACGCAATGGTGCCGAGTATCCTTTTTTGTATAGTGTCCCGTTATCCAGAGTGAACCGTGCTGCTCGGGTCCTCAGGGATCGAGCTTCCTTGGGGTCTTGTGGTAGGGCCTCGGTTTCCAGGTACGAGATTATAAGATCCATCCAAGTTCGATTTTTTACATCTTGACTTAACTCGGCGTTCATTATCTGATTGGCCGAGGTTGACGGTCATTCTTGATTCGGACATACTCTACATTCTCCATATCTGTGCTCGATGCTAGATGCGATAGGGCATCTGCCTGGATGTTCGAGTTTCGCGGGATGTGCTCGACTTCTGCTATGAACTTGGACGATTTTCTCTTTTCTAATGCCAAATATGGCATCAGGCGGGGCTCCTTTATTTCGAAGGCTCCAAGTATTTGATTCACCAACAACTGTGGAGAAAATGTTGAGGTGGGTTACATTTATGGACTCTGCAAGGTCGGACAAAAGTGCTTCGTACTCAGCCTCGTTGTTAGTGGCTGGGAACAAAAATTAGACTGAATGGCAGAATAATCTCTTCTCAGGGTCTACGAAAATGGTTCCCCCTCCAGCTTGGTTTGTCGTCGAGGATCCCTCGACGTACATGATCCTCAGCTGATCGTCATTCATTTCTTCTACTCCTGGTGTGAACTCTGAAATGAAATCAAAGAGTACTGTCCCATCTCCACGGTCCACCTCACCATTCTTCTCGGTGTCGGGTCGGTGTAAAATTTGCCTCAACGGATATGCGGTGAGCACTGTCATCGAATATTCTTGAAAATAGGTGGTAGGTTTTGGGCCGCCGTGATGAGTGCGAAGGCTAGCTTCTCGATGGGTGGATATCTCAGCTTGGCATCGTGTAGGGCTTTACTGAAGTAGTAAACAGTGAACTGTTATGAATCCTCCTCTCGGATGAAGACGACACTGAGAGTCGAGCTGCTCACCCCTAAGTATAACATCTCGTCTGGCTTTGGTTTCTGCAAGGTTTGCGGCTGCGACAATGTTTTCTTGATGCTGGTAAGGGCCTTCTGGCAATCCTCCGTCCACTCGAATTGCTTTCCTTTCTTAATCATGTCGAAGAAAGGCTTACATCGGTCGGTTGATTTTGAAATGAACCGGCTTAGAGCCGCAAGTCGGTTGGTCAAGCCTTGAACTCCTTTGATTGCTTAGAGCCGCAAGTCGGCTGGTCAAGCCTTGAACTCCTTTGATCAACGTCGGCGGCTTCAAGTCGATGATGACCTTTACCTTGCTTGGGTCGGCGTCAATTCCTCTTTCGCTGACCGTGTATCTTAAAAATTTACCCGATCCTACCCCAAATGTACATTTTTTTGAATATAACGCCATAGAGTAGTCGCGCAAAATATTAAACATTTCAGCTAAATGTTTTACATGGTTGGGAGCATGTACGGATTTTACAAGTGTTTCATCCACGTACACCTCCATTGTTCTTCCTATCAATTTAGTAAACATTTTATTCACTAGCCTTTGATAAGTGGGCCTAACATTCCTCAAGAATGGCATCATCGTGTAACAATATAGTCCTCGCGCCGAATAGAAAGATGTGTGCTCTGCCCTCGGGGTTTATCGAAATTTGGTTGTATCCGGAATATGCATCCATGAAGCTCATTAGTTCGTGTCCCTAAATCGCGTCCACCATGTAATCAATGTGGGAGAGAGTAGCTGTCTTTGGGACACGCCTGGCACGCCTTGTTCAGGTCGGAAAAGTCTATGCATAAGCGCCACGAACCGTTGCTCTTCTTCACCAACACTGGATTCGAAACTCATGTTGGATATTTGGTCTCTTGGATAAACTTGTTGTTAACGAGCTTTTTTACCTCCTCCTAGGCTTGTTGTCGGTCGGGACCGAGTTTCCTCCGCTTTTGTTTGACAGGCTTGATCATCTTGTCGATGTGAAGTCGGTGGCAGGCCACTTTCGGGTCAATGGTTTGCATGTCTTCATGTCTCCATGCGAACACGTTGGAATTCGTGTGCAGGATCTGGATGAGGTGGGTTCTGATGGGCTCTTGGAGGTTTGTGCCGATGCAAAGCGGTTTGTTGCACGTCGGCTCGTCGACAAAAATGATCTCCACTTCTTCCGAGGGTTCAGCTCGATCACCCCCTTTCTTTTCTTTGAACTGATCCCGGGTCCAATTCGTCGTCTTATTTGATTAGCTCTTTCCCTGGCCTTCTTCCTCGATCCTGGGTCAGGTCCTCTCCTCACCTTCTTCCAAATTTGCCTGACCCGGGATTGATTCAGCTGAAGCTGTGATTACTGGTGCCGATATGTCGTTCCCTGGGACCGAGGTGATCTCAGGGTTGCCAGTTGAGTTGTTATCCTCGGTGAGTTCTTCGATCTCTTGTTGGGTTTCCGACAAAATGCTACGTCCTTCTTCAGACTTCTCCACTACACGAATTTTTTAGGAATGTATGGTTAAAACGAGTTCTCTGGCTTCTCGTTGATCACGATAATGTGTACCTTACCCGTCGGCGGTGGGGAACTTGATGGCATAATGGAAGATGGAGACGGTGACTCGGAGCTTGTACAGTGCCGTCCTCCCGATTATAGCGTTATACTCATTGGAGAGGTCCATCACCTTGAATTTCTCGATGATGACCTTGGAGGTCTGTCTATGTCGACCAAATCTGATTGGGAGAGTGATCTCTCAATTGGGGAGCGACACGCTCCTGTTGAATCCCTGAACCCTGTGTCATTATAAGGAGAGATCTCCCTCGGGTCAATCCTCATCTTTTCGAAAGTTCAGAGCATGAGGATGCTAGAATATGTGCCTATATCTACCATAATTCGGTGGACAGGAGTGCCGCAGATCGGTGCGGTGATGATGAGTGCGTCCGAGTGTGGGTGGTCAAACAAGCTAGAGTCCTCCAGGGTAAAAGTGATGGCAAGTGCGGTTGTTTCCCTCAGGCCTGTGGTCAGGACGTGCTTCCCTGAGTTCGCCCTTCGTGCATAGGCTTTTGCTTGTCTCCATGAGGAGGTTAGTCCCCTTAGTGTTGACTCGAGGAATGGAGTTGCTGCGAGACGAGGTCAATGGAGTTGGCCCGACCTCGCTCAGGGATTCTGACCCACTGTCTCTTTTGCTAGGTCGGCTGGACGGAGCTTCGGGTCCACCCGAGCTAAAGGTGAAGACTTCTTTCTTCCCCTGGCAAACCCTTTTTGGGTTGAGTTCTCTGTCATCGTCATCATCATCGTCTGGGATCTGCAGGGGCCTACCCTTCCTTCTGACCTCGGTTCCCTTGGCGAATTTGCGAACTTGTGGGTTTCCGATCAATCTCGTCAGTGCCGATAGTAAGCTAAGGCATTCGTCTGTGTTGTGTCTTGGTGATTTGTGGTAAGCGCAATACTTGAATTTATCTGAATGCTCTCTGGGGGTGCGCATCGACTTGGCGTTGGGGATGATTCCATTTCCTTTCAGCTCCTCGTACACGGTGGCGGCACCGATCGAGTAGATGGTATGATAGCCGATCGTCAAATCCTCCCTATATTGCCTCCTAGCCACCCTCACCTCGGGGTCTCGGAGATCTCCTTTTGGTGGGCCTCCGAACTGCTGCTTGTTGGACAACCCTCCTAGCTGTTGCTTGCTTTTCTTCTTCTCCTTCGAGGTCGGCTTTGGCTCTTTAGGAGAGAATTCAAGGTTGGGGACCGACATGGATTCCTCGGCGATCGACATGTTGCTGTGCTCTGACTGGAACGTGTTGGGCTTATTCTGGCACAGTGCCCATCGAAACATGGATTTTGGCTTAAGGCCAGCAACCAATAAGGTCTTCGAATGACATGGTTCCATATTCTGCACACGCTCGTTGAAACGAGCGACATAATCTTTCAAGCTTTCGTTTTTCTTCTGGACGATGTTGGTTATGGATTCTTTAGGGATAAGGCATACTTGGGCCCCAATGAAGTGAGACCTAAAGGCCGACCTGAGCTGCTGCCATTTCCAAATGGAACGATGTGGTAGCGAATGATACAATTTTTGGGCTCTCGGCCCCAGAGTTAAGGAGAACATACGGCATCGCAAGGCATCCGAGGCCCCGTGCAAGTCCATCTATGATACGTTATGCTCGAGGTGGGCGTTGGGATCCGAGGTCCCATTGTAGAGACCGATTTGAGGGACTTTTTTTCCCAAGGGGTCTGGGTGCCAGCGGAGTCAGTCTCCATGTATACGTGCTCCAAGTTGGGGGGCCTCCGGGGAACTCTCCTGCGTCGAGCTTCGAGCTCGGCCACTTTCTTCCGCAAGGCTTCTAGCTCCGTCATTTCCTGCCTGCAGAGCGGCTTTTTTCAATTTGGTGGCGCAAGTCAGTCTGCATCTCTGATTGTGGGAATAGCGGAGTGACATTCGGCAGCAATTTCGAAGAGGTCGTATTCTCGCCCGCGTCTGATGTGGGTTGTCGCGTGGCAGGGAAGTTGAGGGAGAGGCTGCTGCACATTCGCCTCTACCCTGGGTTGGTTGTGCTCCTTGTTTCACCGGTGTGATGGGAGCTATTGATGGTTCGAACATCGTCTTGGAGGTTCCCGACATGGTCTGAGCCATGAGGGCTGAGAAGCCCTCATGAACTCTGGGTTCTGAAATAGGGCAGCAATATCCATTGCAGCCGGCGGCGCGTTGGGTCTTCCGACGGTTTGGGCTGCTTCCTGGCGACAACTCTGGATGTTTGATCATCTTGGCCTGACTTAGACATGGAAAGTGGGATGAAAATGATGATTGAAATGTACTTAGCGGGTTTGCTGGATCGAAGATTAACTCCAAATATCTTATAAGGCTCTTCCTCTAGCGCCACACTGTTGTTATGTGAAATCTAAAAATGATAATCGCAATGATTAAGTATATAGAAAGCCGAAAATTAGCTTAACTTTTGTATTTTAAAGTCGGGTTTTTAGTACATGAGGTCGGTTTTATCTGTAATCGAGTTGTCTTATGAGTGTATTTAATGTGTCGGAAAAAAGGATCCTCGTACAAGAATAAAATGTTGCTATTTATAGTAATTTCGGGTCGTCTTTTGGGACTGGTTCGGCGGCATTAAATGTGATTTAATGGCCTAGGGGCATCTAGCCTGCAGGTGGTCCCACAAATAAATGATGAATGCATGGGCGGCTGATTGACAGACGTCCCATCTGTCCCTTATCCTGTCATGATCTCGGTTCTTCATGTAGGTCGGTCCTCGTTCCATTGAAGAGGTCGGTTCTCATGTCGGTTCATGCAGAGTTCCCGAAATTATTCCGCTAAGTCGGTTTTTCTTCGTATCTTTAATATTCAGTCGGGCCTTATGATAGATCTCCCACGTGGCGTCCTCCGATTGGGCTAATCAGGTTATCAACAACTGACAAACCTTTTGATTAATTAACTTGAAATCTTATGAACCTTATCTCCAATATTGTTTCAGTAACCTTTTGGTGTTAGGGTATGATGCAAAAGCAGTGTTATCAAATGGCGGCCATGGCGATATGGCGTGGCGGATTTTTGACTATCCGCCATGCTAAATTTTGTGAAGAATGACGGTTATTGTGGCCGCTATGGCGGATTTTTTGCAAACCGCCATTTGCCGCCATCCGCTATCAATAACACTGCAAAAGTATATTACTACTAAATTTGCTTAAAATCTACTTTTTTTGTGGAGTGTGTGTGTGTGTGTGTGTATTGGGGAGGAGTGATGTTCTCTGTAAAATATACACTGGAAGTATAGTCCAAATTAGTTTCCTTGTTGATTTGGTTTCACTCATAGATGCTGCGGCTTTTTTCTTCAGGGTGGAGATGCAGGCAAGAAATTAAAGGCCAAGAATAAAAAATCTTCCCAAAACAGCTCACCCAAATTAATGAAGGTTTCAGAAAATTCTTCAAGCGCTGATATGTGGAAGGAAGGGAGTGACTCAGCCCAATCAGCTATACAAGTTCCTGCAGGTAACCAGGTTACTTTACCTACTAAAGTACGGAGCAGGCGCAAGATGAACCTAAAGAAACCAGTTCAGGAAGAATCAAAATTACTTGGCAAAATTCACCCGAGTAATCTGCCTCTTGGTTCACTCCATGACACGATGCTTAAGTCTAAGGTTTGGTTCTCTTTTACCTCCAAATATCGGAAGTTTAATAACACAAATATTAACTTTCTATTCTCATATTGTTTCACACAGGAAATGCTGTCTAATTGTTTATTAAATCAGCGCCTAAGGAGATGGTGCACTTATGAGTGGTTCTATAGTGCCATTGATTATCCATGGTTTGCTAAGAGAGAGTTTGTGGAGTATCTCTATCACGTAGGATTAGGTCATGTGCCAACATTAACTCGTGTGGAATGGGGTGTTATACGAAGGTACACTCTGACTTTTAATTTTTTATTCTTTTTATCTATTTACTGTATCGCTATTGTTTTTGCTTCTATTCATCAATGGGGATGCAAATCACGGTAATGCGTCAATATTTGCTCTATTGTCAAAACAGCTCTCTTGGTAAACCACGGCGTTTTTCAGAGCAATTCCTGAAGGAAGAAAAAGAGAAGCTCAATCAGTATCGAGATTCTGTTCGAAGACATTACACTGAGCTCCGTGAAGGCATCAGGGATGGTCTGCCGACAGATCTTGCAAGGCCTTTATCAGTTGGGCAGCGTGTCATTGCCATTCATCCAAAAACAAGGGATATCAATGATGGAAGTGTGCTAACTGTTGATCACTATAAGTGCCGCGTTCAATTTGACCGTCCGGAATTAGGGGTTGAATTTGTTAAAGTAATCTACTTCTTATCTTCAGCTTGAACTTTCATCAAAAACTTTACATTATTTGATCGTCCCAACAGATCAATATTGCTTTGCATTTACTCTTCGAGTGCAATTGGACATGCATCCAATCCAATCATGTTAATCCATTCGTAATCCATTCGTTTCACTATGTTATCTTTCTTCCACTCACATTTTCCAAACCAATTTTTAAATTAAAAATCATTATTACTACTCATTCATCTATAAAATATAATAATATTCATCGATGCACACTTTTAATTACCAATCATTATTTTACTATTTCCCTATCACACCACAATTAATTATTATTTTTATAAAAAAATAAAATGGTTAAATAGAATAGAATTGAGTTGGATACATATCCAATTGCACCCTACGTCATACAAGCAGCCTGTGTCCTGTCCTGTCCTGGCCAAACTGTGTCTGCTGATCTTATGTGTATTCTATGTCATTCATTCACTTAGTTGGACCTAAGTCTGATTTGGAATGATTTAAGCTAGGTATTGAACTATAAATATATTATATGGGAAAAAGTCCGTGGAAGTCGCTTGTGGCTACTTGTAATGCTTCCATATATGTTGTATATATTTTCTGCTGCTATGTCATTCCATTTCCTTTTGGTAATTATGAAACTCCTTTACCCTGGCAGGACATTGACTGCATGCCCTTAAATCCTTTCGAGAATATGCCTGCATTGGTTGGGAGACATACAGTTCCAGTTGATAAGTTCACTGAGAATATCAATGAGCTAAAAATGAATGGACATGCTACGGAATACATAAAGTTTTTTCCTGGTGATAATCTGGATAACAAGGATGGTTTACTCCAATTGTCTTCATTAGCTAATCCTGCAAGTTTCTTGAAGCAGACAAAGGCATGAGCTCCCTACTTCTGTACCAAGTTATTTGCATTATGTTCATTTCTACTGCAGCTTGATCACCATTTTTATTGTGAAGATGCATACTTAACCTTGGCAATTCAAACTTGCCAAAACTGGAATTATCTGTTTTTTGAGTTTCGTTAAAGAAATTAAACTAATATTATTGTGGTTTCTGTTGCCTGAACCAAACTACTTCACTTGTGCTAATGCATTCTAGTTTGATGCAATAAAAAGGCAATTATATTGGGTTGTTTTAATTTCTTTAGAGTAGATTGATGTGAAGAAGCACTGAAGTGGCAAGATGGCCGTATGGGTGGAGTACTTTCCACTGTCTAATTATGTTTGTTTATGTGTAACTGCGGCGATTTGTCTATTTGTTCTTGAATACGTTCTCATTCTTACATGATTGTCTTCAAAGCCAAATCCTGGTCAACCCCTAAGTTACGGATCCTTCTGGTGCATCAGGTTGTTTCTGCAAATGCTAATGTGAATACGGGAATTGGAGTTGCTGATATCGCAAGTTACAATCAGACATCAAATTCTCCACTCCAGGCAAAGGAAGCTGATATTCAAGCTCTTGCTGACCTGACTCGTGCTCTAGATAAAAAGGTGTAGTTGCGTACCTGCTTATCTTCTCCATATGTTGTTTTCCACCCAATCATCATCCTTTCCGTTGATTATCTTGTCATTAATGGTTAATGCTTGGATTTTTGTTATTGTTCTAATTTTTCAGTCACCTTTTCTGATGCTTTGTTGAAGCATATTCTGCTTGTCTTGTCTTTTTGGGATTTCCCGAACATTAGTATTTTTATTTTTTATTTAAATAAATTTAATTGTTTTCAAAACCGGACTGGTTGGAATGAGAACCGGTTGTTGACCGGTCCAATTCGCTGGAATGAATCGGTTGCCAGCAAATCGGTCAAGAGCTGGCGAGAACCGGCCCAAAACCGATCAGTCGGACTGGTTGAACCGGTCCAGATTTTTTTTTTAAATATGACTTTTTAATCTATTTAAAAACATTTTTAATATAAAAAGCATATTTAAATATAATTGATATGTATGAGTTATTTATCAATTAGTTTAAGCATTTGAATGTTCTAAATCGTCTAAATATTTAAGTAATACTGTTTTTGTATATAAATTTACTACATAAAGTATTATATATATTTAAAAATATTTGTAAATTAAGTACGGTTCAACCACTGGTCTGATTAGTGAACTATTTAACCACAACTATGATTAGTCCGGTTTTGAAAACCTTGATAAATTTGAATGTTGGCGCATTCAAATTTTGATTTTGTGTCCACATATATGCAGGAGGCTATTGTTATCGAGTTAAAACGAATGAATGATGACGTGTTGGAAAATCAGAAAGATGGAGGTAGCCCTTTGAAGGAGTCTGAGTCATTTAAAAAGCAATATGCTGCTGTGCTTATACAGTTGAATGAAGCCAATGAACAGGTACCCAGTCTTCATAGAAAAGAATATAAATTTCCTTTTGGGTTGCATTGAATTACAGCTGAGAGCAAATTGCTTCTGGCAGGTTACATTAGCTTTACGTTGCTTGAGAGAACGAAACACTTACCAAGGAAAATTTCTGCTGACATCAGCGAGACCAGTAGCGCATCTTGCTGATCCCTGTGGCACACTAAATTCTGCGTGCCAATCTCATGAAGTAGGATCACAAATGAATGAAATCATGGATAGCTCGAGATCAAAAGCACGAATGATGGTAAATGCTGCTGTGCAGGTATAATGCATTCAATTCTAGGCATTCAATACCTTTCTTTGTTTTGTTAAAAAAAAAAGTTTGTTTTACTGCTATATCTTTCTAAGAAAATAATAATTTTTCTAATAGGCAATCACCTCACTTGAGAGTCAGAAGGATACCTTAGAGAAAATTGAGGAAGCTATAGATTACGTAAATGACCAGCTTCCCTTGGACGGCACCTGCCTGCCTAGAGTAAATCCCTTTTTTACCTTAATATTCAGCCATTGCTCACCCTTTTTCTCCCATTACATTGAATATTTTGTTATGCAAAAATTAAAATTCGAAACTGTTTCAGGCAACTGATCCTAAACTGACGAATGCATCTGACGACACCCGAATCCCTTCTGAGTTGATCACAAAATGTGTGGCGACACTACTTATGATTCAGGTGAAGTTTATAAAAAAAACAAGCCCCTATGTATTTATTTTCCTTGCAGAATGAATCACTTTTCATTTATTATTATTTTTCCGGTAAAACTGCAGAAGTGTACAGAAAGGCAGTTCCCCCCGTCTGATGTGGCACAGATATTAGATTCTGCCGTGACAAGTTTACAGCCACGCAGTTCACAGAACCTTCCCATTTATACCGAGATTCAGAAATGTGTGGGCATCATCAAGAATCAAATTTTGGCATTGATACCCACTTGAAGTAGTGTGTTTCTGTATATGGAATCAAGTTTATCCAGTGAATGTGTACCTTGTAGATACTTTAGGTCGGTCTCTGTAGCTCTCGGCCATGCCTGTGTGGCTTGCTTGTTTCAGTCAATTATATTCCTATTAATTCTTTCATGATAGCCTGGATTTTTTTATAAAACATGCTAATGAGGATGTATGGTTATTAATGGTGTAGATTCTAATAAGCAGATTCTGATTGGAAAACCTACATACATCGAGGGATGAAAATTGTAAATTTTTTTTATTGTCGACTTATGAACGAGCAATAAGTTAAATGATTTTGGTCTGTCTCATTTTCCTTCTCCTTACACAGCCGAATGTGAAGGAGTATGGCTATTTGTATTCGATTCTTGTATGTGAATGCAGATAGCATGCTAATAATAGCCTGTGTCCTCGTAGCAGCTTGTTTGGGAATTATTTTGATTGAGTTGGGGGAATGAAATGGTAACCCAGCTTTTAATATATGTATTAGGGAGAGATAAAACCGAAGGACTTAATTTGTATGAATAGAAAACTGGTCCTCCAAAATTACAATGACATGACATGATATGAATAAAATTCTGCTGTGCGTAAATTTAGCATGATGTATGTAACCACGTCATAAATAAATAAAGGAATATTACACATTTTTTTGGTTTCAATATATTTCTCAATCGCTATTCACCGCCCCCCTTTTACTAGTCACCGCCCCCCCCAATTACTCTTTTGTCCTTAACCCTTTTTTTGATTTCATCTCTCTAAACTTTCTATCTCTCTAAACTTCCGAACTTCAACGAACGATTCGAGCGTCAAAAAAAATCCAAAAAAATGTCGAAAAAATTCTACGGCCTCGGCAAAGGATTCTTCTCCAACAAGGTAATTTTTTTTTTTTTTTTTT